AATTATATGGAAAGTAAAACTTTCGAAGACCTCACAGATGAATAAACAGATAACTTAAAGAACAGCATTATTTTCAGTTATGCTCAAACATTTTTTAGAATTCTGAATTCATAAGCTTGAATACATAAGTTGCAGTTAGGAAGAGCATTCTAAATTTGCTGCTAAGCTGACGCGAAACAGCAGCAGTGCGATAACAGATTGACATGATGATAAACTAATTTTCTGATTGGACTTTCGACATTTACTTCGTTGGATTTGATAGCCTGATCATTTTATAGCGAAAAGTTTACACAGCAACGTAGCTTTTCATGCTCTCCTTAAAGAGATTACTGCACTTTTTTATGAGTGTAGAAAGTTCTTGATCCTCATAATCTTCAAAGAACTTACTCTGCATATGTAATTTATTACAATAAATCCCGACGTTTTGGAGAGAGCTGAATCCATCTATAGGGGAAATCATGCAGCAATAAGTCCAACAGAGAAACTCTATAATTCTATTAAGTTTATTTGCGAAGCATACTGCTTGAAGAATACGACAGTCAAGTTGTTCATAATGTTGTTTTGTTGTGATCATCTATAACCAGCTTGCAAAACTGCTGAATGTTTAAATTTAATTATTCTGTCATAATTTTTTTTGAAATTTTGTCACTGTTACCGTCACTCTTACTAAGATCCTCTTCGCCATACTATCGCAATACTGCTTTGACTTGATGTGGAATTGCTAATGTGAAATATAGCTTCGCTATTACCGATCAAGAGCCTGATGAGAAAACAGGAAGGTTGAGGACCATTTGCAAAGTTTCCCATTAAATTCTGGCATTCGTTCCTCATGATATTGACACAGTCGAACAATATGCTGACTACGTGGTCGCCAGTGTTACCAAAGACCGATTATGCTGTTGAGGAATTGAGGCAGATTGCAAAACTTAATTGACTTGAACCTGGTTCACGTCTTCTGGCGATAGACACCAGTCAGCAGCAGAGTCACTGCAGTTATGAAGAAAGGATATAAACAGTTCAACGCGTCTACGCCAGAAAAGTAAAGTTCAGCCGAAATGATATCGACAACTGAAGTTAACAATAGGACATTGGAATTTCTCCTAACTCAAATGAAAGAGCAGGGGTTAGTTTGTGAGATCGCAAGATATAGAATGGATTTATTTATGCTCTTTTTAACACAATGGCTCTGGAATTCTAAATTTCTATTTTTGAAATCTATGTTCCTTAGGTGATCTGGTACACGATACTCGCTCAGGCCGGTGATCTGGCACAATTCATCTTGGCTGACAGAGTTATTGAACTAAAATCTGTCAGGCTACATTTAACCTTTCCTTGCCAAAAAGTAGTAAAAACTTTTATAATTTTTTAATTTTCCACCTGATTTGTGCTGAATAATGTTGGTATAGTTCATCCTGGCTGAGGGAGTTACTGAATTGAAATTTGTCAGGTTACATTTAACCTTTCCTTGCCAAAAAGTAATAAAAACTTCTATAACTTTTTAATTTTTCACCTGATTTGTGCTGAATAATGTAATCGTATTCAGTAAAAACTGAGAGCGAGTAATTGATATACTTAATAATAATTGATAACGGAATGCCTCAATTCTATTGATTTAACTTGCCTATCAATATCAGGAATCCTGCAGGAATACTATAGAAATTAAATCGTTTGTAAGTCGGTATTTGAAACCTACTGTTGGAAGAGGGAGTAAAAGGAAGCTGATCTGTTTTCTGTGCCAGTTGTTGCTTAAATGCTTCGTAGAAGTTTGACGAGTCTGTCCCGTGGTCTGTCAACGTACTGTTTTACAACCCTCCAAGATTTGACGCAGAAGCAGAACTTTGTTCGTCGCCTGTTGTCTGTGAAGGAGGCGTCCGGACTGACGTTCGATGAAATTGCTTCGCGCCTCGGCGTTACCAACATCTACTGTGCTCAGTTGTTTTACAACCAGGCACAGTTGAAAGAGGAGACGGCCAAGAAACTGCGGCGGGTCGTTCCCGGTTTGAGTGACTCAGACTTGGAGGAAATGGGTCGGGTACCTCTGCGTTGTTACCCTGCGGAAGTGCTGCAAGACCCGACCATATACAGATTTTACGAAGTGATCACACACTATGGCATGTCGTTGAAGGCGGTGATCAGCGAGAAATTCGGCGACGGCATCATGTCCGCGATTGATTTCAACATCGCAGTGGACGCCGCTAAGGATGAAAACGGGAACAACAGAGTAGTGGTGACGCTGAACGGGAAGTTCTTGCCTCACACCGAACATAAAGATCATCTTGGAAAAGCATGACATGGTTTGGTGCAAAGTAAAGATTTTGTGTCCTTAATCAAGGGGTCCTAATATGCTCCTACCGATCGGTGACGACAGTTTTGTGTTTGAATGGTTTTCTGTAGTGATAACGTAGCGTTTTGCTGAAAGTTAACGATCCCAATGAATTTATTCCAGTAGTAAAATAGCTGACGAGCATGGTCATAGTTTATTCCATACCATGAATCACATTTATGTTCTTTACTGTCATTGCTAGTTTCTCCTAAGCGGTAGATACGCCGTGAAATCCGGATTCAGCAGAGAGAACTTCTTTCTCACAAGGTAGGACTCATCTGCCTCGGAGAAATTCAAAAAGTTCTTTTGCCGGATTTCAAGCTGACGATCTTTTGACTATTCATCAAACGTTGTACTAAATGAGCTAGCCTGATAGGCTTTCAAAGGTACAGCGTTGGATTCAGCGTTATTTAGATCTTTCCGTGAAGTCCAGCTGCGAACAGAAACTGTTCTCGCCAAGATAGAGGATATCGTTCTTCACGCCTTTGACCTACGCTGTGTATTCGTTTTACCGATTAACGAAGATTTTAAAAAGTTTTAGGGAAGTGATGCTGTTTGTGTACATGAAACAAAGTCAATCAGTCAGACTCAGTGACCGCTTATCCTTTCGTGTCGCAGAGGCTGACGCGTCAGACAGAGCTTCGAACGTTACCGATCCTGTGCCAGTGTTTGAGCTTTGGCAGAAAACGGCCGGAGTCTAGACAACACTCCTTC